TAGAAAGCCTTGACTTCAGGCTAGATCTCTGACTGGATTGTGGGCCAGTATAAATACTATTTCCAGAAGTGTTTTCAGAATTTTGTTTTAGCTTTGTGTCACCTCACCTGAAAGTACTTACTACAGTGTGGTAAGTACATATCACAATAACTTTAATTTAATTGTAATATTTAAATAATTAAATTACAAGAGTACCAGAATCTTGCTGTTGGATGTTGTGTTGCATCGTGTTCTTGACATCTATTGGCTCTCTGTATTTCTTGATTTATTTCCAGAATTTTCTACCTGCTATTCATAACATTCTGTAGATTCTTCCATCATCTTCCACGTGGCTGAGAGTTTACTGATTATCTTGTCCATGTCATCAGGGTCCATTCTCTGTTTATGCTGCTCAACTGATGCTTTTGTTATAGAACTTCTGTTTTGCCTTGCTGCATCTCAGGTTACGTTTCAGGCAAGGCATTCTAAGCTGATTCTTTAAATGCTACAGTAAAGGCATTCTGAAGAAAAGAACAAAGTGAGTAGTATATTCTTTTACTGGTAGAAAACATTAGATATTTTCTCATGATGGAATAGGGAAATTGTCTAGTCTGGATAATGTTATTAGAAAAGTAGGCAAACCCTTTTGCCTTTTTAAGAAGCAATAACTAAAATGCTCCTGGGTGTAAATAATTACTTACAGCAGCATGTTACAAATAGATGCTAATAAGAAGTAGAGTTCCTAAATTATCAGTTGAGGGAGTCCAATTTCCTTGTTGTAGTTTTCTTTTTACTAACACTAATGAGACTTGTTTTAAGGGGGTAATAGACCTGTGCAGTATGACAAAAGCTGTATGGTGGCCAGAAGTTTGTTTAACAGCATAAGCAAATAATTCTTACTGTTTCTTTGCATCAGTACTACTTAACATCTGTTTTTTTGGTAGTGTGACTGTTTCTGATGACTTTAGAGCCTTGTCTTTTTTTATAGTGCAATTTTGTATGGAGAGAAAGGCAAGCTTGATTAGAGGCTTGTTTTATAAGAAGTAGAAAACGGTAGCACAAGTTCCCATTGTATGTAGGGAACTATTGCCTCTTTTGTTTGCTGCCTTTGCCATTCAGTAAAGATAAGGGACTTCTCTTTCTTCAGAGGGGATAGTGAATTTTACTGGTTTTGATCCTTCTTAGTTCAACAGAGCTTTCACTTTTCTTTCAGTCCTGCAATGACAGGATAAGAGCTTTTTCTAATGTTACATTTCAGAAGTTTTCATTTACATATGGCAGGCAAGATACTTAACTTGGATCGACAGCTCAACACAAATCACTTATGCAAAGTGCTGTTTAAACTTTTTAATGTGTTAATTCCATTTTTATGCTAAAATGTATGAGAATCAGTACTTATACTTTGATTTGCCATACTGGAGTGCTGTGTCCTGTTCTTGGCTCCCCAGTATGAGAAAGGTACAGGCTCACTGGAGCAAGTCCAGCAAAGGGCCGTGAACATGACTGAGGGATTGGAGAATCTTTTCTATGAGGAGAGGCTGGGAGGGCTGGGACTGTTTGGCCTGGAAAAAAGAGGGCTTGCAGGGATCTTGTCAATATGTATAAACACCTGTGGGGGGGAAAGAAGAAGGAGACAGACTCTTCTCAGAGCCCAGTGACAGGCGAGGCAATGGGCACAAAATAAAACATGTGAAAATACATCTGAACACAAGGAAACACTGTTTTACTGTGAGGGTGGTCAGATGCTGGAACAGGTTGCCCAGAGAGGTTGTAGAGTCTCCAGAATTCCTGGAGATTTTACTGGACACAGTCCTGGGCAACTGGCTCTAGTTGGCCCTGCTTGAGCAGGGAGGTTGAACTAGATGATCACAGGAGGTCCCTTCTGATCTGTGACAATACACTTATGAGGGGGAAGGTTATGAATGAATACATTATAATATAAAGGTGTAATTTGTGATTTACAAGCCATACTTGAAACACATTTAAGTGCTGCCTGTTCAAATTAGGTAACACTACTCAAGCACATCATCCTTCTCTTGATATAGTGTGTACATTGTTGCAACAATATGCTTATGTACACAGAGAAAACTGAAAACATCTGCATAAGTGTCAAGCAGAAGAATAGGGTAGTATTAAGAGTACAGTTGTATGCATTTTAATGTGAAAACCAGTATCTGTGGTGCTAAATGGTACAGTTTTCTTAGTTGCACTGATTAACATTGTAAGATTTAGTTGCTGTGAAGACTATTGAAGACAAGATTCCTTGTTACTTATCTCCTATTCTGGGTTATTAAAATAATAGCTAGTAATGTGTTCATAAATTGTAAAGTCTTAATTTTGAGTCAGTCAAGGAGGCTTTGTAAGCGGGTTTATTTGAATTTATGGTTGCCCCGTGTAGATGAAAGGTATGTGATTTGGTGAACCTACTTCTGCAAGATTAAGTGTTCACGACTGTTTAAGAAAACGGAGTACCTTCACATCCTCTGCTATTCTGCATCTCTCTTCAGGAGCCTTGAGCTATTTCTTTTTGAGTTTGTTCACCTCATAGCATAGGGGTGCTGAGGAAAGCAAGGCATAATATAGCTAAAATACAGCATCTTCCACTGTGAAAGTGTTTTCCTAAGTGGGGAGACTTGACCAAACTTCAATTTTTTTTTTCCTTTGGGAATTAAAAAAAAATGCTCCTGATGCTTGATTTCTCCAAATCCATGAGACTTGGAAATAAGCTGTGACTTGTGTTTGAATGATGCTACTTTACTTTTCAAAATAAAGGCTTCCTCTTGGAGGAGGGTGGGGGAAGTCAAAGTTTCTGAATTGTTTGGCTTTCACCAAAAAAAACAAAACGCCAAAACTGTCCAAAGTTCTAAGGAATGATAATGCCTGTGGAGAAGTTGCCAGTTGTTGACATGTATTTTAATAAAAGTACTTTTTCTTTAAACATTAATGTTTAATATAAGGGCTGAAATGCACAGACCTCTCCATGTGTCAGTATTTTTGTTCTGGGCCTGACTTAGTGTTTGAGGGAGGAGAAATGTGGGAGGATGTGTGAATAAGGAATTCAAACTGTTGTAACAACATTTAGTATTCTAATTCTGATAAATAGGTTTCAATTTTCATCTGATTTTCTGACTTACATTACAATTATGAATTAAAAAATTCTATCCAGAGTCTTCAAATGTCCTTTAAATAAAAGCTGCTTGCAGCTTCAAGGATCTACATAGTTTGAAAAAGTTCTAATAAAGGTGATCAGACCATATCTCCATTTGTCTCTTGTGCATATGCTGGAAGAGTTAACTAAATGAGAATTAATGATAAAAGCACTTCCTAAAGAAAGGTGTCAAATTAAACTTGCAAGATGTCCACCCAAGAGAAAATTGTGTATGTCTAACTGTGTATGTTAACCAACTTGAAGGAGGTCTTGTGCTTTGTGTGAGAGGTCTTTTTTAATTGAGTTTTAATTAGGGGTTTGGGGGCAACAGAGTGGGAGAAGAGGCATGACTGTAACCACTAAAAAATTTATACTTGAACATAAATTACAGTTGCTGTGAGAACCTTGACTTTAAGTTGCTTACTACTTGTGCTTAAGACTGCAGGAGGCTGTTCAGTACTTAAGAAAATATTGGTATTCTTGCTTGTGATGCTGCTTGTCACCTGTCTTGCCCTTCAGTCACTTACCTAACAGCTAGAGTTAATACGGGTAGTGCTCACCTAGCAAGTTCTTAAGCATTCAGTCTGGGTTGACAGAGTGCAAAGAGTTTGAAAGCACCAAACATCTGTTTTATGAGCTGTAAAACTGTCCTAGATTGTAGGAGGAGATCAAGAACTGCTGTGTTACTCTTGCAGGCATTGAGCAGGATTTGAAATGCTTGACTACATGCAACTGGGTACATGCAGCCCAGTAACTCAGGATCTAGTCTGCTTGTCAGGTAGCATCTGCAAGAGTTCAACCTGTATAATGACTATTTAGGCCTCATCATCAAATGTGAAAGGAGGAGCAGCAGTTAAGGAGTAGGGTTTTTTTGGTTGTGTCACCCCCCCCTCCCCCCTTCCATAGCTAGGAACTTGTAGTATCCATACCTCCATCATCATTTGAAAGGCAGTGAGTAGGTTTTCATTAGATGTAAATATAATGCTCTTACTTATTTTTGTAGAAAGTTACTTACTTCATCTTCAGCATGTTCAAGCATCAGTGACTAGACTGGTCAAAGTCTAGTGAATTGCAGGGCTTTAAAAATTGTGTTTATATACATCTTAATGGTAAGGACTTGAAATGCTTTTTTAATCTCTTAAATGGCATGTACCAGTTATGAAGTAAAATGGGAGGATAGGGGATCTTGTCAGAAGCTTTTAAATTTGGAATGGTACTTGAGGCTGAAGACTGGGGTCTTGAATTTTAAGTACCATCTCAAATTTGTAGAGGTGCCAAAGTGAATTTAGGAATTGTTCTCAATCAGTAAAACCTCAAGGCTAGTGGGAAGATGATAACCACTGAACTTGAACTGTTTCTGACCTGAATTTTGCTTTTTAAAAGGAGTAGTTTAGAACTCCAGGAGTATCTTTTACTAGTTGTGCACTGATAGGAAATACTGAAATTCTGAAGTGCATCAAAACTGGTTTTGTTTTCATGCTGCCTGTATTCATGACTCTTTTCGTACTGGTTTAGGATTGCTGCCTGGTTGGGGCTTTGATTTCAGCCATTTTAATCCACCAGTTTCAGAGTGGTTATGTGGAAACTCATTTTACAATATTGAGCTTTCAGTTATTGCCTTTTGCATGTAGTATTTCTGTAGTTCACTGTAGTATGTTTTCACATTTTCCTCTTCTCTCTTCATGTGTTACTGGGAAAAATCCTTGCAATTTTCTGCACGATTTTCCTGGATCTTAAAGATTTCTTTTGTTAATGCTCAATGTAGTAAACGTTTGTTTTGTGAACTAAAGAATAACCCTGCATTCTTTCCCTGCACATTGAAAATGCAGATACAGATCTGAGTTGCTTATGCATTATTTTTACTTCTCAGCTGTTCACCGATGGAATCACCAATAAACTCATTGGCTGCTACGTGGGTGACATAACAGACGATGTGGTTCTAGTTAGGATCTATGGAAACAAGACCGAGCTCTTAGTGGATCGAGATGAGGAAGTGAAGAGTTTCCGCGTGTTGCAGGCTCATGGCTGTGCACCTCAACTGTACTGTACTTTCAATAATGGCCTGTGCTATGAGTTCATGCAGGGGGAAGCACTGGATCCAGAGCATGTATGCAATCCAGATATTTTCAGGTAAGCTTTTTATTTTTTTATTATTTCATTATTCAAGTTCTATGATGCATTTATGGTGTTCTGTCAGGCCCAAAGGATGTCAAGCTTAGCTTTTGAACAGGCAGAAAAAAAATATTTCTATAAGCCTGTGCTAAGTTGATGTTCACACTCTTTACAACTCAGTGTCGTCTGTCTTAGTTATCATGGTGTTTCAGTGCTGAACAAATGATCCTTGCTGCCTCCCCAGAAGACTATATACTCATTAGAGGTCTGCTTATTGTGAGTATTTAACACTTGCACATTACCATTAGGGAGATCATTTAACATGGTGGAGTTTAGGGGGCTGGGCTTGATTAAAGCAAGTATGCCTAGCTCTGTTTCCAATACATTCCTTCTGTGAATAGATTCAAGATAGATAGTCTTACATTGAGACATAATTTTTTAAACTACTAGCGGTGAACAGAAAGTGCTGATGTCTTAAGATTTTAGCTTTTCATTTATGCACTGAAATGTATTTGCCTAACAATGGCAGCTAATTTGAGTCGACTCTTCTAAAGATAAGCAAGTTGAAGAGTAGACCGTAAATACAGGTGAGGTATGCATGCTGTAACTGAACTCCAATACCTCCCACCTCCCCTCCCTTACGTAGTGCTGCTAATGACCTTTTGATTCTTCAAAGATGCTGCCCTATAGCTGTGCTGCTCTTGTTTAAACCCTCTTTAGATTCCTTTGCTGCATTTTTTTAGTTTTTCTGTTAAATATATTGTAGTTGTCTTCTCTTGTTGCTAGGAAAAATATGATAAAGACTGTCAGATCTGTTGCAAATACAACATTAAATTAAACTTTGGTTTTTTTTAGACTCATTGCCAGACAACTTGCTAAAATCCATACTATTCATGCACACAATGGATGGATCCCTAAATCTAATCTGTGGCTGAAGATGAGGAAATACTTCTCTCTCATACCCACAGAATTTATGGATGAGGAGGTAAATAAAAGGTAAGTATTTCATTATGTGCTTTCCAGATTTCCCATTCTTTCTGGTTGAGGGGTAGAAGAATGTTTAAAAATACAGGTTTGGGTTACCACGTAACATTGAACTCTGTAAAATTTTGAGTTTTGTCATACTTTTGTATACTGAAGTAGCTATATAAATGTCAAATATGATAAGGAGAGACTTTCAATTCATTTGCTATATTGTGTATATATACATACAGTTCTTGGTTTGATTTGACACTTAATAAATGATGGCAGTTTTCTTTACTCTTTTTAAAGAACCAAGGTCAAGTGAAGTACTACTTCAGGTAGTTGTCTCAACAGCTTTTGAAAGATCCGTCAGTCTCCCAAACTGAGGCCTACGTTCTGGGGTGAATACTGAAAACATATTTCCTGGGGTTGCTGGAGTACTGCTGCTTGTTCATTCTGACGTGCACCTCTTAGCTGTCCTGTATGTGTTCAGTTTATAAATTTGTCCAAAATTGGGTGGCATAAAAGTAAAGTTTGTGAAAGGCTGTTTTGGGTGATGGGATGAGCTCCTGAAGTGTTTTCCAGAGGAGGAAAAGGTATCCTCACAGTCATTCTAGACTTGTGCTATCATGGAGTTTCACCTGGGTTTAAGGGTTTAATTACATTTTGTTTTTAGCATCCCAGTATAGCTCTTGAATTGTAAATCTAACTGTTTTTTCTTAGGAGCTTAACAAAATAAGAAAATATTTCAGAATGGTTCTAGCATCAGTCACTGGAAGATCAGAATGAGAGGAATGGCAAAATTAGGAGCAATGTTTTACGTTTACGTTAACCTAAATAAAATTTGCGCTGTAATCTAAAGCTTGAGTTGACGACAATGTTTCTCGGGGATTGGAAATCGAACTTTTAAGCTAAAACTGTAATTTGGAAGTGTTTGTACAATATCATCAAACTTCATTTCACTCAGTAAGCAGATTCCAGCTTAAACGTTCTTCATAAACTTCTTTGAAGTCACTGATGCCGACTGCCCTTCTTGCTGCATTGTAATTAAAGAATGATCTAGCAAAGTTGTTTGAATTTTTTTCTACAACATAACATTCTTAAGAAAACTGAAAATTTGAGTAGTTAATTGAAAGTCTAAAAGAGAAATGCCTACTTAAGCATATTTACTGTGACTAGAACTAAAAATGAATCCTAATTTTCTCTGTATACATACATATAGTACTTACTGTGTATTCTACTTGAAGGAAGTAATGTAATGTGAGCAAAAAGTGAATGAAATTCATGCTATAACAGTTTTAATCTTTACTCTAAAAAATGTGCAGGATTGTGTTTAAGTCTACTCCTGATTTCTGCACTGCTGTCATTTTTACAGCACAGACAATCTTCAGAGATTTTTTGGGGGCAGGACAGAGAAATAATTTTCATAATTTGACTGCCATGGTGCCGGGGGAAAGGTTGCTCTAGTTTGGGCGAAGATCTATTGAATTATTTGAAATAAGAACGTAGAGGAAAATAACTAAGTTATTGGCATGGAACACACAGTACTAAATATTAACACTTAAACTTCTTACACCTAAAAAGGTTTTTAAGTGACATTCCAAGTCCTCAAGTTCTTCAGGAAGAGATGGCCTGGATGAAGGAAAGACTGTCAAATTTAGGATCACCAGTGGTACTCTGTCACAATGACCTGTTGTGTAAGAATATTATTTACAACAAGAAACGAGGTAGGTATTGAACTGAACAGTAAGTAGTGGCTTAGTTTGTTTATGCTGTAATTGCATTTGCTACATTGGTAGTGTCATTTTACTGACTTTAGTGAGTGAACTCAATTTAAGCTTTTACGACCCAATGTAGTAGTGGTAGTGATATCTGTGCAAATATTAAGTTGCTTAATTAGCTAATTCTCATCTATATGTTACTTTACAGAGGAAGAATGTTGGTGTTTCTTGCTTTGCTTTAATGAATTTGTTAATCCCTAGCTTTCCTGTATGACTAGGCTTCAAAGTATGTAGTTGTTAATTCTAGTCATATAAAGCTTTTCGGAGGGGAAAAAAAAAAATCATACAAGCAGAGAAAATAACTTGAAGACATTATCTCATATAATGTGTATTGTTCTGGTTTGTAATCATGGGAAGACACCTTCATAATGAAGTATCTTAGTGATACTTAATACTACATTCTGTGACTATTTCCTGTGTGAGGTACATAGGCATCTTGAAGATTTCTTTCGTAAATACATACTTAATTTAAACAGTTGTAGGCAGTACACCTCTTAACAAAGATGAATTACATTTTTATTTTTATTATAATAAATTTAACTCATAATTCATGTTATTAAAGAATGCCTTAACTAAAATCTGTAACGCTTCTGTATAAACCCACAGTTTATTTCTGGATTTTAGTGGTTTGAGGTTCGGTTACTAAATGAATTAATTAAACAGGATATTAAAACAAAAAAGGGAAACTTGCAACATTAAAATGGCCATGGTGCAGTAAAAATGCACAACTTTTCTTCCATTTCAAATATCTGAGCTCAATTGAGTGCAACAAGTACATCAGGTTAGATCAGGATTTTCTTTTGAAGTGAGGATGACATGTTCCATCTAGTATCTTCATATTTGTTTGACAGTTTGATAAGACTGTTGGCATATAGGCCAAAAGTGTGTGAAGTAAATGACTGTGGATGGAACTGAAGTATTCTCCCTCAGTCGTTATTAGTCTTTGACCTTTTAATCCTGTGTGCCTTTATTTCTAAATAAAAACTAACAAAAGCATGCTGGAGTTGGTTCTAGTATGAAAACTGGCTGTGTATGTATAACCAATTTCTGCATCAGATATGCACTGAATGCATGTGAACTGAGAAAATAGTCTTTTGGTGGTTTGTATACAAGTTTCCCTCCAAGTAATACCATTTTGAAGAGAATTGCTAGTACTTCTAGTTCTATAGGTGTACATATAGTATATATGTATGTCTACGTTCCTGTACAGTGTTATTAACAGCATTTTTAAATTCTAAGAATTCAGTACGAAACTTCAGTCGTTTTACTTAGTTTCAATGGTAGGGGTTATAGTTCTGCTTAAAAAGAGGAGGGGGGAAAAAAGCATGGAAGGTACGTGAAAAAAATCAGCTTGTGGTCTTACACACATTGCAGTTGTGATACTGTAGTACCAAAAATAAATCTATTGTTGTGTAGTTTTTTCAGTGCTGAAACTACCTTCAGTTTTAGCATTCCATAACATACCCATTGAGGTAAAAATAATTTTTATAGTCACTTTTCATAGTAGAACCATGCTGCAAAAAAAATTGGAACTCCTTTAACAGGCTTGCTATCACAGTCAATAGGCTTGAAGTTCCTACTTTTAAAACAAATGTTAGGTGCTTTTCTTTTTGTAAACACAATGGAGTTAAAAACTATGCCAGCAGTGCATTGCTTATGAGCAATCCTATAATAAGTGTATGAGTGCTTAGTGTTTGGGGACGTGGTGGGGAGGAGGGAGGTACATAAAGCACTCTGGCTTCAAGCTAGCTGTTAACATCTTGGGGGGGGGAATACTTGGAAATATGAAATAGATATTTACTAAACTTATATTTGAATGTTGCACATGTACTGTGTTGCAAAACTTCTGCAATCTGGGTACAAGAGGTACCATTTTCATAGTAACCAAACCTCAAAGCCATCTGTAGAATATTTGTCTGTTTGAAAGCTGTTTCTTACAGTGTACTTTTTACAGAGCAAAAAAATCAATGTCTGTTAGTACAGTCTTAAGATGAGGAACATGATTTTAGAAGCGGAAGCTCAGCTTTTTAACTGTAAATAAACATGTATTGCTGGAATTCTGTTTAGCAGAGTAAAAGCTTTTATTGGTATACAAATAACTTTGCAAGAGCACAAAATAGAATCTTTAAAGATGTGTACTTCATTAGGAGTGACATCAAACTGTATGAAGGCAGTTAACAGCTTTGGTGATGCTGTACTCTTACTAAATTCACTCTTTCATCTAGAAAGACTCCTGTGTATCAAAAAGACCTCGGTGACCCTAAGTTGTAACTGAAGAGAGAGAATCAGTCTTCTAGATTAACTACTATTTTTTTTTCTCTCCCCAGTAAAGTTTGAGCAAAGCTGGTAGTGTTTACCTGGCTTTTCAGAAGCTGGCACAAACAAAATAACTCATTTATTGGTTTTAGCAACACTGTATTTATCACTTTGCTTGTGAATGCTTAATTTGCACACTTACTAGGCATGGGGTGGGTGCGTGTATGTGTTTTTTAAGCTACAGGCTATCAACAGATACTAGGACTCCTGTCCAGTACACTTAGAATGATTGTGGCTTGTCCCAGTGCTTTGCTTTAGACTTGTCCTCTGCATTAAATTCTTGTTAAATTTTCAGATTTGAAAGAAAAATCATAGTTGTGCCACATACTGCTTTTAAGAAGAATCAGTCTCATGTCCTTAAATTTTATTTACGAGACTGGAATAGAACGTTGAGTGCTAGCTTCATTTAATGGAGAATCACTCGTTTCATTTGAATTTGTTCATGCTGTGGCTGACAGAACTCTGCCTCTTGCTGTTTTGTTAATGTCCGTTTGCAGTCACTCAGGATATGAAAACTTGCAAGTGTTACTTTACATAACTTATAATTATCAGTGTGAACTACTCTTTGAAGGATATAACTCAGAGCCTCACGTTGCTCTTAATTACAATTTGGGCATGAAGATAGTCAAAATAATGCTTGGTGCTTGGTACTGCTTATTTATAGACCTTGTGTTCTGATGCTCTTAAAGTTCGGTGGTTTTTTTTCCAATGTGACCTGGGAGTTTCCAAAAATACTTGATTTTTTAAGAGTATTCAAATACTTGCTATTCAGTAAGACCAAGTATCAGTATTCTTTTGTCTATATCTGTATGTGCTCTTTTTGAATGTATTAAAATCACCTGCCAGGAAGTTAAGTGTGTAGGTAGATGGCTAGTTTTGTTCTGTTTATTCCCTCTGCCTACCCAATGTTTTCTATGATCTTTGGTAGGAGTCTGTGGGTGCTCAGTGCTTCTGAAGACTGAGGTATGTTTAAGGCTTCTGGTTTTGATCTAAAAACCTTTTTTTTTTTTTTTCCAAAGATATATTGGGTATTTATAGCTAAAATTATTCTTTGGGTATATGACCCGTTTGTGAATTTTCACGTATGTTCGTAGCATAGATCATTGTCTTTACTGAAGCTGTCTTCTAGGGCCTCAGTGGCTCACCTGATGAGCAGGATGGGACGGAACTCAGGATACATCATTCTGCTGTGGTAACTACAGCTAGGACTTGCACGTCGAAAGTGCTTACCTTATTAAACCATTAAAAGTGAAGAGCAGCTAGAAAGAGAGGTGTCATCACCTTCCTACCTTTCAGTTCTCTGAGGAGATCTAACAGATGTCCTCTTGACTACTACTTGGTCTATTTAAAAATTGAATTTCTGGTGTACAGAACATAATATGTATTCCATTTTGTGTCTTTATGTAGTTTTCATGGATTACATTGCATGTTGTCTATACTAGTAGACCCCTTGATGAAAGGAGTGTGTTTCAACTTGAAATGTTCAGTACTCTTGATGTCTCTATTCCTGTTGATAACAGTAGCTTCTCCAGAGAGATGATAGAGCTTAGTTTTAAATCATGTCTCACTTCAATAAAATACAAATGCACTTAGATTAGTGTCTCTTGTTGGTGTGCCTGCTCCCTGTGAAATCAGTGGGATGTACAAATTCTTTGTACTTATTAAAAGCCTCAAAACAAAAGCTAGCTGCTTAACTACTAGTGTAAGCCATATCTTTTAGAAGTGGCTTTCCTGTATGCATTTATGAAGTGGCAAACTCATGGTTTTTGCTTTCTTTCAGTTTCACAGAAAGAACTGTGCATCTTTATTTTAAGCCTTTCATGCAAAAATTAAACTTAAGGTTGAGTTCCACAGTAGCATAAGTCTGAAAGAGATCAGTAAAAATGCAGGACTTTTTCACTGTGAACTTTTGTTTTATCGAATGTGAGTTTGCCAAATTTTCATCATCTGCTACAGATTAGATATGCCATTATTGCTGCCTTGTGGTGGCATGCAGCGTGCTACTTGTGCACTGGCTGGAGGTGTATCGCACCACTTGTTCACATGCCTTTCCCCATAGGAAAGTGCCTGGTAACAGCCTCATTTGTATCTTGTTAGATTGAATTTCTTATTGTACATAATATTATTTCTATCTGGAAGTAAGTTTTAAATGTTAGCTGTACTTAAAAATGCATAATAGCACATAAGTATATTCAAGGTGAAATTTGCACATGAAAGAAATTTAAAGTATTTCTTATATTGATATTTTGCAAGTAGACTTTCACCTGCCATTTTTGTATTTTACATGGGGAAGGAAGGAAGACTGTCTGAATGTCAGCAATATCAAATGTTTGGGGGTGTGTGTAGGGGGGTTCAGGAGGTCAGTTGTGTAGCAAAATATTAACCAGGGTTGGGCTGTGCATTTTGACTGGCTTGTAACTTATAGATGCTTCTTCTTAAAAGTAGTACTAAAGAACCAGTGGGAAATGCAGGCATATACAAGTCTATGAATCTGCCAGTCAAGCAGTGGCAGAAGCTAATCTGTGACAATATTACAAGATCTTGGCTGCAGCTGCTGTAAAATTTCTTGTCCCTTCAGAGTTCTAGAGAACCTCAATTTTCCGTTGCCAACAAGATTTTCCTGGGAGGAGCTTGCCACTCTGCAGGCCATTTTCATGTTGGTTTGTCAGAGCCTAAAAGGTTTAACCTCATAACCTTGGTAAGCAGTCCTCTCTTTCTGTGGAAGTAAGGGTGAACTCTGACTTGGAGGATTGTGATTCAGTGATTTTTGTTTGTATTGTGGGATTTAACTTCCATTATAAATGCTTAGACAAGAAGATTTATCCATCTGGAAAATGTTAATGTGTTAGTATTTCAAATGTGGTAAAGATGAACTGCATAGATAAAAGGAACCCTTCTAACAAAGTTGTTCTGTGATAACTTGGTCAGGACATTTATCTGGCAAAGCTATTGTATTTGATATGTGCAATATCCATAAATCTTAAGGAGGCAGTATATTAGACACTTAAAATCCTTAGTCTAGGAAATACATAACATACTTAACAGTATTCTTGATTTACTTCTTTTTGACCTGGAGTTCTGATAGTTAGCATTAGTATCTGCAAGATGTTTTAAGTCATGCTAAGAAGATTGTTCATTGTAATAGAAGGAATATGTTTTTGAGTGAGTAAATATGCAGCTAGTCATCAAAAGAATGGGTGTAGAGAGGGAGAAGGGTGCAACTGTGAAAATCACCCATTTCAGCATTGCAGTGGGAAATGTAAGGTTTTACACTTCAGTGTTCTAGTGCAAACAGCTCTTAAGTTAATGCATTGCTTCCTTTTCTGATATCTTTAGCAATTTCGCTGGTTTCCCTTAAAATACAAGAGCTCTAGTTTTACTTTGATTGTTTGATGTGGTGTGGACATTCTTGAGCAGGTTCAATGCTGTATTACCTTGAATGAAGCATTTTCCCCAGCTTCACTGTAGTGAAATGCCATTTAGAAACATTGGGGGCTGTGTTTGCTGCTTTATCAGTCCTTGTTTACATAACACTACATGGTTTCATAGTTTGGAGGACTTGAGGATTGTCTGATGGTTTCTTGAGACTAGTTTAAGCCAGCTAAAAAAAGCAACAATTAAGAATAGTCTTGCTTTGTAAGTGTGGTTGGAGGAAGCAGGAAATATCAACATGTTAAAGGGAATACCAACATGTTGCAATGTGTTAGTCCACTGTGGTGGCACATTTATGTGAGAATAAAGAGGACTGTTCTTTTTTAAGTTGGGGAAAAATTGATCTGCTATTTGTACATAAAGTTTAAATAAAGGATCCTCTACTGTATTTCTTATTTTGAAGGTAAGGGATGCCCTCATGTGGTAGAAGTTAAAATTGAAATTCTGCTATTCAGAGTTTAAAAATAGAGAACTGTAAGCTCTAAGTAATTATTTAAGAGCTTTCTTGAATGAATATTCAAGGAAATCTGATATCGTAAAAATCACAGCCTTACCCTGAAATGTCTGAGTGCACACAACAAGGCACAAGTAAGACGGGTGTGTGGTTTTGTTTTGTTTTTCCCCCAAAACTTCAAAGGACACCAAAGGATTAGGGCCGTGACTTGATTTGATATGGACTCTGATGTTGCTGCTGTTGTGTCTCACATAGGTGATGTGCAGTTCATAGACTATGAGTACTCTGGATACAACTACCTGGCTTATGACATTGGAAATCACTTCAATGAATTTGCAGGTAAAAACTGGGTTTCTGAGGTAAAGGTAAACTGGTTTTATAAAAAACCCTCATTCTTGCACATTCTCTTTTTCTCTGTTTGTATATCTAGATACATGTATATAGCTGTTCATCTGATGGTATCAAAATGCGTTAATGTCTCATCTTGCAGGCCAGTTATGCCCGCCCTTTGCAGTTCTGCTAACCCAGAAATGGGAACATCATGTCCTAAGCTTTTGCAGAGTTAAATAAATACAGAACTCGCAGCTTTAACAGTATCCTTCTGTGAAATGACGCAGTGGAGACTCAGCACGCTGTAGTGAAATACTGCAGATGTATCTTTTACAGCATAGGTATACACTGAGAATACGCTGTGTGGTTCCACAGTTCCAAAAGGCAGGCTTATGTGGTTTTTGGTGGCTTTGCATGCGTGTGCTAAGTACTTGCCCTTGAGTCATGTCCTAAAATAAGAAGTAAAGGCTAAGACTCTGGTGTAGGAAAAAGGTGGGATTTTAGGAATAAGGTGCTGGTAGACTCATTCGTTTACTAGTTCAATTTTTCTCAGTGAATGCTCATTCTGTTTACTCCGTAAGAGAGAAATAACCTTGGGTGTATGCTGTGTTATTTCAGAAGATGGGGCAACAGGAAAAACCTACATAATGATTAGTATAGATGGAAAGTGCAGTGTGGTGAAATTAAGAGCCTTAATCTACAGTTGTTGTCTCACAAACTGAACGTTAAGTCTAGATAACGTAAAAAAAAATATTTCAGAGTGTATACTTGGTAATTTAAGTATTTGGAAAGCAAGTTAAATTCTTTACAAAACAAATTTTGTGAGCTTTTGATTTTTTTCATCTGGGACTTACGAGAGTCTGACTACATCTTTAAGGAGCTAAGTACAGTAAGAAGACTAAACACAAATAATTTTTTTTGTCTATGGAGAACAGTTGTGCTTCATCTCTATTCTCTAGCCATCCAGTAAAAATCTGATTTTTTTTTTTTAAAAGCTAAATTTGAGTGGATCTGACACAGGAAAGAGTTTAGGTGCTAGGGGATTTCACTGTTCATAAAAATAAGACTTAAGGAGGATTCCCAAATCTTCTGGGAATGATAGCTAGTGGGAGTGAAGTGTGATCCAGGTTTGGGACTCCTGGCAGACTCCATGTGGCCTGTGACTAAGCATCTCCAGTATAGGGGAAAAAAAAAAGACAAAAGAGTGGTTGTGGAGATGATAAAACTTCTAATTCTACCAATACCCTGGGGAAGAGAGAGGTACACTTCTAATAAAATTTTTCATCTCAGAAATATGAGCTTAGTTGGTGACAATGTATATATATCTGGATTCAGCTTTGGATACTGTTGTACACAAGTCCCTTTTCTTATGAAATGTGTAATATTTGATGTGCGTAGGAGGGCTTTTGTTTCATAGCGCAAATGCTTTTTCTTGAGGCTTCTTTCAAAGCCAAACTTGTTGAATTTCAAAATACAAGTAGAATATGTATGTGGCTGAAAACATACACAGCATAAATCTTTCTACTATGTTGAACGCTCTGATTCATGTGTGAGAAATTCTTGCTAATGTAACTGGTAAAATCAGGTCAAAGTAAAAACACTGATGTTTGTCCACATCAATCTGTGCATGTGTGTTGGGGGTGAGGAGGGGGGAAGTAGTCCAGTAATGTGATTCTGATGGTCTTTTTAGACACCGTAAGGTTCTAATAGGTATTTTTTTCTCTTTCTAGGAGTAAATGAGGTAGACTACAGCCTTTATCCTAACAGAAAATTACAGGAACAATGGCTGAGATCTTACCTCGAGGCCTACAAAGAATATAAAGGATTTGGCACAGAAGTCAGTGAAAAAGAAGTCGAAGTTCTATATGTCCAAGTCAATCAGTTTGCACTGGTAAATAATATACTGTTGATTAGAATATATTAAATGCTATAGAGAAGCCTGCTACTCTATGGACAAATGTAACTGCCAGTTTCTTACTCTGAGTGCTGTGGTATGTAAAGAAAAATTTCCTTAGTCTGTTCTATGGAAACCTTCTGTTATGTTGTGTGTTAAAAATTCTGTAGAATATTCCTAGTGAAAGAGAGGCAGTGAGCATTCAGAAGATGAGATGAGCTTTTAGTGAGTATTTCTATTGGCTGTTTATTGGTCTGGCAAGTTCCTGAATTGGCTAGAGCTTATGGTGAGTCTGTGTTGAACTTTTTTTCTTGTAATGGTAAGAAGACAGAAGAACAAGGTAGTACTTCATAAGGACCTATAAATCTTCTGATTTTAAAAGCCTTTTTAAAGTAAGATGATAAAATTTTATCAAACTAGGATACTTTGGTTAATTCCCCCCCCCCCCCCGTAATTAGGTCACTCCAGAGTCTTTCAGTACTACCTTAACTCTTTTCCTTGCCTGCAGTGTCTTGGCAAGCAGAGAGTTGCTTTCAGATTTGGTTTTGGTCACCTTAATGGTTTAAATTCTAGCAGAGTGCACATGTAGTCTCCTTCGGTTCCCTGGAAGTTCTGCCTTTCTGTAGAGCGTGAGGGCTGTCTGTGAGTCTGCTCCCTGCTCCTCCTGCATCTTGTGCATTATAAGCTGTCTCCTGTCCATCAGTCTGTCTTTCCCAGACTTTGGATGTAAAAGCTTCA